GTGTGACGAGGTATGGCTCCTATGAGTTTCTTGTTATGCCGTTTGGCCTCACCAATGCATCTGCTACTTTTTGTACTTTGATAAACAAGCTCTTCCATCCCTACTTGGATCGCTTTGTGGTAGTGTACTTGGATGATATTGTTGTGTATAGCACCACTCTAGAGGAGCACGTGCAACACTTAAGGGCGGTCTTCCAAGTCCTACGGGAGAACGACCTATATGTGAAGACGGAGAAATGCTCTTTTGCCCGAGAGGAGGTGTTGTTCCTAGGGCATAAGATACGGGATGGCAAGTTGATGATGGATGAGGCAAAGGTGAGGGCCATTCAAGAGTGGGAGCCGCCCACTAAGGTGACAGAGTTACGCTCATTTCTTGGGCTTGTCAACTACTACCGCCGCTTTATCAAGGGTTACTCGGCGAGAACAGCCCCATTGACAGATCTTCTCAAGAAGGCGCGTGCTTGGAGTTGGACAGAGTCATGCTAGGGGGCATTTGATGATTTAAAGAGGGCAGTTACAGAGGAGCCAGTACTTAGCTTGCCCGACCACTCCAAACCATATGAGGTGCACACAGATGCATCAGACTTCGCTATTGGGGGCGTGTTAATGCAGGAAGAACACCCTATAGCTTATGAGAGCCGCAAGCTTAATGACACCGAGCGGCGCTATACGGTGCAGGAGAAAGAAATGACGGCGGTCATCCATTGCCTACGTACTTGGAGGCACTACTTGCTCGGGGCACAATTTGTGATCAAGACGGATAATGTTGCCACCAGCTACTTCCAGACACAGAAGAAGCTTAGCCCCAAGCAAGCTCATTGGCAGGACTTCCTAGCGGAGTTCACTTATCATTTTGAATATAAGCCGAGCAAGGCCAATGTTATGGCGGATGCGCTTAGTCGCAAGGCCGAGCTCGCAGCTATCAGTCGACCCCAACACTCTCTTGTGGAGCGGATCAAAGAGGGGTTACAGCATGACCCTTTAGCCAAAAGCCTTATTCAGCTGGCTAAGGAAGGGAAGACTCGGCGCTTTTGGCTAAGGGATGATTTACTTCTCACTACAGGGGACCGACTATTTGTGCCCAGGTGGGGCAACTTGCGAAAGGAGTTGATACGGGAGTGCCATGACACCAAATGGGCTGGTCACCCAGGTATGCGGCGCACCCTAGCACTCCTTGAAGGATTTTACTATTGGCCTCGGATGCGAGATGACGTGGAGACATATGTGAGGACTTGTCTTGTGTGCCAACAAGATAAGATTGAGCAACAGCATCCTGCAGGCCTACTAGAGCCACTGCCTATTCCAGAGAGACCATGGGAGAGCGTCTCTATGGATTTCATCACTTGTTTGCCCAAGTCAGAGGGTTGCGGGAGCATTATAGTGGTGGTAGATCGGTTCAGCAAGTATGCCACCTTCATACCCGCACCAGCAGACTGCACAGTAGAGAGGGTAGCGGAGTTGTTTGTTGACCATGTGGTCAAGCTTTGGGGAGTTCCGCAAAACATTCTCAGTGACAGAGACCCGTGCTTTACAGGTAGATTTTGGACGGGGCTCTTCAAAAAGATGGGGACGGATCTCAACTTCTCTACGAGTTTCCACCCCCAATCAGATGGGCAGACGGAGCGCATCAACGCTCTCCTGGAGCTTTATTTGAGGCACTATGTGAGTGCTAATCAGCGAGATTGGGCTAAACTCCTTGGAGTGGCACAGTTTTCTTACAACTTGCAGCGGAGTGAGGCTACCAATCACAGTCCATTTGAGGTTGTTACCGGATGGCAGCCTATGACACCCAACGCCATTGCTTCGACTTGCGATGGTAAGAGTCCGGCGGCCTACAAATTTGCCAAGAGGTGGCATGAGCAGCCCGACTTGGCTTGGGCGTACCTTGACAAGGCGGCAAAGAAGATGAAGAAGTGGGCCGACACCAAGCGAAGGCGGGTGGAGTACATTGTGGGAGACCAGGTGATGGTTAAGCTACAACCCCAACAGTTTAAGTCCTTTCGGAGCGTGCATAAGGGGCTAGTAAGGAGGTACGAGGGCCCGTTCCCTATCGTCAAGCGGGTGGGCAAGGTCTCCTACATGGTGGAGCTTCCACCCAAGTTGAAGATACATCTAGTCTTCCATGTCAGCATGCTTAAGCCTTATCATGAAGACACCGAAGACCTTACTCGGGGCATATCGCATAGGGCACCCACGGTCGTTGTCACATCCTTTGATAAGGAAGTTGATTGCATCCTTGCAGATCGTGTGATGAGCAGGAGAGGCGTGCCCGAATATACAGAGTATTTAGTGAAGTGGAAGAACCTGCCAGATAGCGAGGCGAGCTGGGAGCATGAGGATACACTATGGCAGTTCACGGAGCATATCCAGCGGTTTCCGCAAGAAAACGCGACGAGGGCGTCGCGAGCTTAGGTGGGGGAGAATGTCACACCCCGCTACCAAGAGGCTATGCCACGCAGGCGCCATGCAGACGCCCATCAGACGATGACATGGAGCCTGCATGGACTGGAGCTTTCTAGACTTCTCTACACAAGTATGGAACTTTCCGGAATTCTCTAGATTAGTGTGGAGTTGTCTAGCCTTTTCTAGACTTGTCTAGAGTTGTATAGAGTTCTCTAAAATTCTCTAGATTTGTCTTGTAGATAGTAGATAGTTCTAGAATTGTGTAGATATTTCTGGAGGATTCTAGACACTAAATCTAGGCCACACATTTGTACACATCTAGAATGTTCTTGTAAGGCCAAAGGCCTATAAATAGGAGGTGGGAGTTCATTTGCTCCTCACCAAGCAACCAAGTTGTAATCTCTCCTCTCAAGCAATACAAGTTCTATACATTTCCAAACTCTCTTGTTCACTTGCCTTACCTCTTCCTACACACCCAAGTAAGCAAAACACTTGTCTAGCCTTAGTCTTCACTAAGCTAGCACACTCGGGTAGGCTGACTTAGCGCTTCAAGGGGGCTTGAAAGTGTCTAAGGCCGCACGGTAGCTTGAAAAGGTTCAAGTCCGTGACAGTAAGCTCAATAGCCAAAGTTGACTTTTTGCATGATGATAGAATTTGGTTGACTAATACTAGAGTCGAAAATAGTACCCCGTATCAAGAGAACATTCAATTTATTTTATCGAAAAAATCCAAAGCAGCCATCATTCATCAACACATAATTCAAGAGGAGATACCTCCGAGCAATACTATAGTTGACGAGGACGAGTCATCTTCGGTATCTTATTTCTCACAATTTATGCCCGAGTATTTTTTAGGATCGACCACAACGGTCCCTATTCAGCTTAAGAATATGTCAATTCCTTAATATAATTGATATATTACAAATAAGTGTATTTTGAAAAAATTAATTTAAAACTTACTCTATTTTAACTTTGTATTTGGTCTAATCAATCACAGGAATGAAATTGGTCTCTGTCATTATCTCTTTGCGTCCAAAGAGGTTAACAGCGGCACCTAAAATCATGGGTCAGTATCTTCCAAGGATTAGGCATTTCTAGTCGAATGACATAGAAGGTCCATTATTGACTTGTCAAATAATAGCCAAGGTACAGAGAAGAATTATGCTCTTGTAACACCTTTGGTATTGTAGCTGGTGTAGCATTTTTCAACGTCCTTATGTCTGATTTCAAGAGACCTCGTCTGTATTTCTAACACACAAAAAAATGTTTTGAAACATGAAATAATGTGTTGCAAATAGATGTGACTGCGTTAAAAAAAAAATAATAATAAAAATAAAAGAATAAAAATAAATTCATGTTTCGATTTTAAAAAATAGATGTAAAGACTTTGAAACACACTGTAACAGTTACAATACCAAAGACATTATAACAATGGATCCGGGCTATAAGGGAAGGTGGCTATATTACTGCATGATTAAGTGGATTTGGTTTTTACAGTTTTCAGAGAGGAATTATGCAAAGGTATCTTCATATGTGGTTGTCCTGTTTCTAAAATTATTGTCATAGGGGACATGTAGGGTTGGGAGAAGATGTTAGGAAGTGGAGAAGTTGAGTTTTTTAACTTGAGTTGTGACTTGTGAAAGGTGAGTGGATGATGTGAAAAGCCCAAGAGATTCCTCCTTATCAACCAATTTTTAACGTGTAAATGACTCTATGCCCTCAAGTAGTTGTTTAACTTGTTTAGGTTAATTAGGTCTCATATAGTGGCCTTTCTAAAATGCTGTTGTCTAAAAACATGATGTGATGGTAACATATACACTCATACTATTGCATAATAATAATAATAATTAATTTAAATGAAAAATGAAACCAACTTAGCGCCGAAAATATAATAAGTGAGTTAAGCATGTCATGTCATTGATATACTCGTGGGGCTAGTTCTGGATGTAGGCAACCCCGACGGTCGCTTATGGCCTTCAATTTGGGCAAAAACAATTTGTATTACTAGAGCCCTAAAAAATTTTATTACTAAGGCCTCTCAAAATTTTAAACCTTACATTCGCCTAGGATATTGAGCCTGCCAGATCTGTATGCTTGGTCAATGAAATTTTGCCATTAAAAGAAATGGGTCCAACATTGCTCAAAACTTCTCTCTAAAAACTAGTTTGTTATATTTTCATTGAAAGGACATATTGATAACATGGTATGTCGGGTTGCCAAAATCATTGATGGTTAATGACTTCTCCTTTTGTCCATATAATTAATGATGGAATGAAGGAGTATTAAAGTAAATTTTTAGAATTTTTTTTATCTTAACATGACCAAAAAAAAAAAAAAAAAAACATATCCTCACTAACATTTAAAGGAACATCCAACCAAAAATGAAAATGAACATCACCACGGTGAGCAACTTTGGTCCCTACGGTACAAAAATCCTCTCCTATCAAACACGAGATCTGTTTTTGCCAGTTCGTATTGTAGCGGCAATAAAAAATAGAAAAATAGTGTTATGGTTAAAATAGGTATTCTAAAAAAATTTACAATATTATATATATATACACATATAAGAAATTATATATATACACACATACGAAATTAGAGTACTTAATTGTTCAATTTCTGCGCCATTCTTCTTTCTTCTTCTCTTCCAAAATATAGAAAGAAAATATATTTTCTTACAAAGAAAGTCAGAGCTTTCCATCCCTTTCCTAACTTTTCTTCTTTCCAAATTTAAAGGGTTCTTTCCAAAGGTTCTCTCCAACCCTTTCCAAACTCAGAGGTTTAATATGATTGAATCGTATTAAATTTCTGTTTCATTAGTTTTATTTGGTAATTTACATGGTTCTTTCCAAAGGTTTGAGAAGAGGTTCTTACAGGGTTCTTTCGAAAGGTTCTCTCCATTCCTTTCCAAACTCAGAGGTTTAATATTATTGAATCGTATTAAATTCTGTTTCATTAGTTTTGTTTGAATCGTATTAAATTCTGTTTCATTAGTTTTGTTTGGTTATTTGTGAAGTGTTATTAAATTTGGAAAAATGAATGGGAAATTCTGAAAATTTTATTCGTGATAAATTCTACAAAATAGTTGACATATTGTCTATTATAAGATATGGAGGTTTTAAACTTCCAATTTAAGATCTTAGAATAAATTTTCCATTTCATTCCTGTATGGCGTTGTATACAATTTGTAATAGTAATTGAGAATAATGATTAGTAATTATAAATAAGTTAACATAGTTGTAGTTTTAAACTTCCAATTTAAGATCTTAGAATAAATTTTACTTTCTATTCCTGTAAGGCAATGTTGTATACAATTTGTAATGGTAATTAAGAATTATGATTGGTAATTATAAATAACTTAACATGTTTGTAGTTTTAAAATTTCAATTTAAGATCTTAGATATGTCAATAAACCTATGAGGAGATATTATCAATAAATGATTTAAAAAGATAGTATCTTTTATAATTGTTCCTACCATTGATTTGCGTTAAATATGTTCTAGCTTGATAGCTATACACTCCATTTGTTGATAAGGAACTTTAATTATCTTGGTTTTGGGATAAGTTATCATCTATGGTCAATTGGAGGAAACTCTTTAACTCTTGCAACCGTGGGAGTTTTCTAAAATTCGGTTTTAAAATTTCTCTAGTTCTTGCTTGGAAACGAATTTTTTATCAGGGGCTATATTGCTTCAAACACTAAAAAACTTTTACCATACACTCCCTTCTCTTCCTAAAGTCTCTTTGTAAAATTTAATAATTTTTGGGCAGGTGGATATTTCTATAAAAATCATTGACTATCTGCTGCACAGTTTTTTATCACAGTTCGGGGATTGATTTTGAGAAAATGATTTGAAGGACTTCCCGACATCATTAAATTATGAAACTTTCCAATTTTGTTATTTCTTGTTTCTAATTTCTAAAAACAAAGGTCACAAAATTTTATCGGCTCCATAAACGACTAAGCAAGCCAAAGTTCGGCACTTGGTGGGATTTCAGCAGAAGCTGTGAAAACTTTCCTCCTTCTAAAAACTATTTTCATTGGTGTATTTCCAGCATCCAGGAATGGTTCAGTCACGTTTTACTCTAAGTCTAGCTTCTAAAGAATTTTAGTTTGCCTGGTTCTAATAAAAATTGAATTTTCTATCATTTTTCGAATAATCGCTGAGCAGAATTTTTCTTTAGCTGAGCACTGCTATTCCAATTTTTGCTTTTAACCTTATTAATCGCATCCTATGGTCTTGGGGCGTGATAGGTTTGGTACTCATCTTCCAACATGTCTCATTTGCTTGTCGATTTTTATTTAGATTGTTTAGAATAAATATTTCTTATATACCTTTGTTTCATTTTCTACATTGAAATTTTCTATGTTCCATATCTCTTTCCCAGTGGAAGTAACATGTTACTGATGTATTTTATAACTCTTTACAAACTATATAATTTTTTTTTTTGGTACATAAAATCCAAAATTTAGTAGGTTAAGAGCTCAAACTCTTTTGTATCGGAATCAAAGGAAGCTACAGGAGTTAATATATCAAGCATCACTATGACTTTCCATGCTGAAGTATATGGACTCTTCTAAAGGTATTGACCCTTTACTAGTGTAATCTTTATTCATTTCTTTTTTTATTTTTCTAGTGTGATAGTCACATATACGTCTTATGTTCATGATTTTTATATTCTTTCTTTTAATTTTCCGTGAGCACTACTACTAAACCACAATTTTTATTTTTTATTATTTTTTTTATTGCCTTTCTACTCTACTCTTTCTCATCATCACCGCTTTCTATCCTATCCCTCTATGAGCACTACTACCTTGCATTACTTTACACAGTAAAATGAATAGTTTGTTTTGGTTGCTTATTCTTCTATTATACTGAGGTTGAGAGGTGTTATTAAACTAAATAATATTTCATCATTCATAAATTTTGTTTAGCATAACAAAGCAGCAACAATAGGAAATTTGTTCAAACAAAAAATGTTTTAAGTTTGGGCTTAACCTTCAAGCCCCACAACACCATCCAGAAATTGGCATCCAATGTGCAACTACTAGTTTCACCGCCTCTAGAGTTAGAACTAAGTTTAGCCGATTCCTACAATTCCATCGCCAAATGATAACCTATGCGATATATTTTTATAATTGGCAAATTTCTGCAACAAAATAAATCCTAGTTGAGTTGCAATTTCAGTTATCATATCGACATCGACTGCGGAATAGAGGAAAGTACTATTGATCATCGAAAAAGAAAGAACAACACATTAGGACTTCGTTTCTTACTTAGGACACAAATACTTATATGGTATATTTTCCACAAGTTTCAAAAACATAAAATCCAAGTTTAAATTGGATTCTGTCAAGTGGGAACCGGTACCTGCATTTGGGAACTGGTTATAGGAGCTAAGATTCGAAGAACTTCTTTTTATCCTTTGGGAACCGGTACCAAGATTGGGAACCAGTTCCAAAAGTCCTCTTTGCAAAAGGTTTTTCAGTTTCCTTGTTCTGTTTAATTCCTTTTTGATCCAACTTTCCTTCCAAGTCCTATGCACGAAATTTCCTTTACTCTCAAAAAGAAAAGGACTTTGCAAACCTCTATATAAACCATGTCATACATATAGGTTTATTCACGGCTTTTGTTCTACAAATTCATTATTCTTAAAAGCCTTAGGAAGATTATTTTTGCAGAAAATCAGAGTTAATTTTTCTGCCATCTTTCTAGAACACATACACATAAATACATAGAGAGTTTAGACTTGTGGTGTTCAAATCTTGATCGTGATCATACAGTTACATCTACGTCGATCAGACAAAAACAGATCTTCTTCTACATCGAATTTAGACGATTGAAGAATAAAAGTAAAACTAATCACACTTTGGAAGGGTTGGAGTATTCGAGGAGTGTTGTCTAATGTGACGGCCCTGGTTTTTCAAGCCAGTGCGTCCTGTGATGAATAAAAAATTGACTTGATAACGGATCCGAATGCGGAAGCAAAAATAGAAAACAAGACTCTAAGAAGTCAAAGTGACTCTCCATAAGGTCGAAGAACCCAATAAGAATTGATGCGGAAGCAAAAGATTGAAAATATGACAAATAAGCCCCTAGGGGCAAAATAGTCATTTTACATGAAAATGACATCCCTAGAATGTAAATTATTCTTGAGACACATCCGTGACTTCCCGTGAAGTCACAGAACTCAAAAGAAAGTAGCGGAAGTGAATTACAAGAAAATCGGACAAAAATAGCCCCAAGGGCAAAATGGTCATTTCTGAAAAATATAAAGTTGGGTACCACCGAGCACACCGCTAAAAAGACAACAAAAAAATAATCAAGATGGACTCAAGAATCGCATGATTCGGAGTCCGGACAAAGGAGAAACGGCATGACGAATAAAAATGAGCACTTAGGGCTAAAAGAGTAAACTGGTAATTATCCTAGAAGATCCGGGTACAACCGAGTACATCGTTGGAAAGACAGCGAAAAATTAGTCAAGTTAAAAAAAAAATTAACTCGATTTAGAGTCCGAACGAGGGAGAAACAAAGATTTGAAGTTGAGACGTCGCAGCGGCCCGACGAAGGCCATGGCGAGCACGGCGCCCACCGGCGCCCATGCCGGTGCCCAATGGCATACACAAGCTGACAGCAAGAAAAAAAAAGTGAGGTTCCAGAACTGAGGCTTGAAACGGGGGCCAAGACGAGTTTTTTTGGAAAAACACGAAAAAAAACCCTCCCCCTAAAATCGAGTTTTCTACCTGACAACGTAAAAAGAAACGAAAAAAACTCATTGCAAAATGCCCAAAATGCCCCTCCAAGAAATCTAGTGATGAGGGTCATAAAGTTGCTAAATGAAAACTGGAAGCTGAAACTTCACGAGGGATTTCCGGTACCAAGACGACATTTTCTGGAAAAACACGAAAAATAAACCCCCCCTAAAATCATTTTTCTAAACGACCTTGTTGAAAGAAGAAAATAAAACTGATGTGAAAGGTCTAGAATGCCCCTAGATCAGATTATGAAACAAAAGTGCAAAATGAATCCCTAGGAGGCTCAAATCACAAAGGAAAGGGTTTTTCTTGAAAATGACCATGCACACAAATGTAACTTACCTATTTGGATGCGCTACAATGGTCCACGGCTTAAAAATACCGCCGATACAAAATTCGACCCCCCAACAGCAAAGAAGGCAAAAATGGACATGAAATGGGAAAAATGAAAACCAAAATTAGGAAATAGTTTCAAATGAGTGTTTGGCACTTGGCCACACTTCATACAAGATAAATGAGACCTAGTGGAGGTGCCGGAACACACTTTGCACCACCTGATTTGAAAATGAACCCTTAAGGGCTCGGATTCTACTATTTTAGCCCAAAATGCAATATGTGAACTAAAATGCAAAAATGAAAACTAAATGGTGTTTGGGTCTTGGCCACACCTCACATATGGCAATTGAATGCTAAAGGATGAATTACATACGCAATGCACGCACCGGTGCAAAAATGACATATTGAAACCCAAGTTTTCATGCTTTTCGCATTAAAAGCAAAATTCATCATTTTTCAATATACAAGGATTACAAATGAAGTTTGGCCCTTGGCCACATATTATATACATAGAATGAATATCAAAAAGTGTGCTTAAGCATATATTACAAGTTTGGAATAAAATATACACATTTGACAAAAAGACTACAAATGGCATTTCGAGCCATCTTTTACAAGAATTGAAACCTTCTAATCTACAATCATCCGAGCAATGACGAACATTATGAACCAAGTCTTCGTACCTGAACAAATTTCCCAGTAACTTCGGGGTGAGTAAACAAGTTTACTAGTAGAGAATGAGCATGCATCGACTCGATTTCTTTAGAGATTTTTACATTAACTTGCAACAATTAAAAAGGGTCATGCCACCTAATGTCTATGTCAAAGGTTAGACTCAAGGAGCATCCTAAGCTACCTTAGATCATTTCTAGATTAAATCGCATCGTCCATGCAATTCAACAACAAAGAAGCATGTTATACAAGGTAACAAGATGTAGATTCTTAAGGCCATCAACTTAAAATCTAAAGCATAAAATTAACAGAAGTGGGCCATGCCACCTAACGTCTATGTTCAAAATGTATCTGTAGGATCATTCCTAAGCTATATTAGAACATCAAAACAGAATTTACAATATCGATGCAATTTTTAACTAACATTAGAACTTCTAATACAACGCATCAAAACATGATTTCTCAAAGTTAACATTTTGAAACTTAAAATGGGAAATCATATATGGAACAACAAGTTACAACATCATCTAGTTATCAACTTGAAATGAAATGCGAAATCAAACAAAGTGGATACTTGGACGTCACGCTGGATCAGACCGACACCATAGTTACTTTAGGGTTACTAGCCCACGGGTAACCTCCCTATGTGTGCACTAGACTATATAGAGGGACAATCCTCCGTACTAGAACCAAGTCCTAGCCGTAGCCAAATCAACAAGTTGTGCAACAATGTATATATCAACATGTATATACAAGATATCAACTATCTACCATGCACAACCGAATTTAGAAACGCATACAATATATGCTCTAAGTCCACAACTATTATGGCATGACAAATGTCGAATCTTCAGAGCGCGATTCGTTACGCACTATAACAATATAATTCAATATTGAAAATATAAACTGAAAAATCCAATACAAATCCATAATCATGATTTAAATATACAATCAATTTCAAACACATGATTAAATCATTAACGCAATAAAAATGAAAATTAATTACATGACCTAATTAATTCCTCTAAGTTTCAAATCTCAATTAAATGACCCCTAATTAACACATGTTAAACAACATAGCATGGTCATCACCTATATCCATTCTAAAACTCAATTAGATTGTTAGAATAACAAAGTAGAACTTTAATTAAATCATGCTAATTTTAATTCCAAGGTTCTAAAACAACATCTAATAGTCCCAAATTAATATATGCTAGTAAACAATTCATGGTCATTACAAATATCAAGTTAAAAACTTAATTAAGCTAAGGAAACCATTAAATAGATTTTAATTAATCCTTTTAATTAAAATCTCTAGATTTTTAGACTTATCCAAATACTCTCAAATTAACATATGTTAGAAAACATGCCAAGGCCTATTGTAATAACACATTATAAGTTTATTTAATTCAAGTTACAACCATGTGAATTAAACTTTCACAAAAGAAAATATTAAATAAAATTTACAATTCTTATTCAAATGATGCCAATTTAATATATGTTAACAAGTATACAAAGGCCTAAATTACTAGCATGCCACACTTAAATTCCTAGTTGTATATCATCATGAGGATTAAATCTTAAATAAAGAAATTAATTAAATGAAAGGTTTCAAAACCTACTCAAATATTCTAGATTTAATATATGTTAAACTACATGGCATGCACATCAAGAATATCAAATCGGAAATCCAATGGGATGAATAGTACACTTGGAGCAAATTAATTAATCAATTTAATTAATTATCTCTAGATTTTAAAACACCTCCGATTACTCTCAAATTCACCTATGTTAAAGAGCATGCTAGGGCCTAATA